AAGGCCAAGGCTACACCAGAAGCTGGTAGCATGAGGAGATATGTCGAGGAGTTACTGGAAACACTTGTAGAGTCCTCTGATAATAAGGACATTGAGGATTTTGTGCTGCTTCAGATATTGTACCAATGTGCAACGATTTGGTGCCCCAACAGCTCTCAAGGCATCCCAAGACCATTGTTTCAATATGTAGATAGTATCGAGAGAGTGAAGACCATTGCATGGGGTAAATTTATTTTTGATGAGACAAAGAGAGGCATTCAAATTGCTGTTCAAGGGATGAGGAAGCCAGGGGTTACATACGTACCTGGATGCATGCCGCTCATCCCTGTATGTTGCATGATCATCTGGCTTGACATTTGATCTAGTTAATAGGAGTCATGGTAACATGCATTAGAAAACATGTACAACATTGGACGTTAATAGGTTAACATGTTAAAATCAACATGTTAACATGAAGTTTGACATATAAAAGTAAAAGTTAACATTAATAGGTGAAAGTTAACATGTTAACATAAACTTTAACATATAAAAATTAAAGTTAACATTAATAAGTGAAAGGTAACATGTACCCAGTAATGTTAACATGGGTTAGTGAAGTGAAGGCTAGCTATTTAGTATGTTGTAGTTCAAGAAAGAGTTATGCAAGTTAACTATTTTGACAATTGATCCTTCGATTCTGACAGCTTTGGTACTTTGAGATGACTGGCATTAAAAAATTAGCCCTAAACTTAAGGTGGAAGCCTCTGATGACCAACTGGGTAAGGGTCGGAGGGACGGCTAGATCTCTGAGGATGGAGACAATCGTCTCTAAGGCCAAGAAAGCAAGCATAAAACTTGAGGAGAAACCAATTTCACTTAGCATTGGATGGGGTGAAAAATACCCTCAAAGGGAGCCCAGCAGGAAGAAGATTGAATTCACTCGCTTTGGGAAAAATAGAAGCCCAACGTCCGGGAAGCAAGAGAAGAAAAGGAGTAATGGGCTGACCAAAGAGCAAACTAGGCCGAGAAAGATGAACGAGGAAGAAAAGCAGAAGGCTGGGAAGCAAGAGAAGGTGATGGGCAGACCAAAGAGCTCATCTGTGGGTTACGTAAGCAGCAATGACTCTTTACACATCACAGCATATTTACATTGAGTTAAATATTTTATCGTTATCATTAATTCATTTTCAATTTGCATTGTTTCATGTTAACTTTCTTTTATAGGTTTTCATAACTATTCTGTTTAATCTTGTGGATTTACATGGGTAAAGGGTATATGGTTTACTTTTCAGATTTTGTCCCAGCATATCGCTGATGCTTTTTCAAGAGAAGATGAAATAGATAAGTTGACACCTGCAGAGCAAATTCATTTTTGGAGGAATACGGCCAATATAAATTGGAAATTGCTCCACGCTGTCAAGCGTAGCAAGCGCCTTCAATGGGATGCTTGCTCCCAGGAGATACATAGGTTGAACAAGAAATTAGAGCGCTATGAAGGGATCGAAGACTTGATTGATCCCGAAGATCTGAAGAAAAATGTGAGGGAACTTATGTCACAAAGTGATAGGCATAAAGGGTATGCACTGAGGAAAAGAAGAAAGAGTGTTGATTCTAATGATATGAGTGATATGGGTGATGATGGAATTTGTTTTGATTATGACGATGTAACGAACATTGGCAAGGAAGCTTCTCATATTGCGGAGGCTGTTGCGCAAACAGAGGAGGCAGAAGAGAAAGGTGAATAAGAGATGGAGAAGAAAGAAGAGAGGGAAGATGAGAAGAAAGAGGAAGAGCAAGAGATGAAGATGAAAGAGGAAGAGAAGGAGGCAGCGAAGGAGGAATGGCAAGAGATGGAGGTTGAGAATGTGGGGAAAGCTGTGGCTAGTGAGGAGGATAAGGATCAGGTGCAAGTTTATCGGAAGAGATCGAAGAAACTTGTGTCAAGGGGTATTAGGGGACCAAGTACCAGAAAGAGGACTCGCTCACATCTGGTCCGAACCCCTTTCACTGAAGGAAAGAAGAAGGACGGTCGTCCAGATATAATTAACATATCACCACACAAGGAGGAAGAGAGGGATAAAATCAGGTTCTATTGTAAGCCTGAGGAATGCACTTGGGATTTTCTTGGGAAGAGGAAAATCAAGAAGAAGGAGGAGGCTCTATTAAAGTTGTTAAACGAGGGTATTCCCAACGTTTATGATTTTAGCATACGTGTGATTGATAGTGAAGGAACCTTCGTTCACAACTTTAGAGTGCCTCAGTATATAGCAGCAAAGCTCACACTAGACGAGAACAGATGGCTCTCTCAGTTCTGCAATGAAACAGTCCATCAGTAAGTTTAGACATTTTGATTAACCGTGGCTACAACATGTTAACTTTCATTGTTACATGTTAATGATTATAGTTTTATGTTAACTTTCATTATTACATATTAATGATTATAGGTTTATGTTAACTTTCATAGTTACATGTTAATGATTATAGGTTTATGTTAACTTTCATAGTTACATGTTAATGATTATAGGTTTATGTTAACTTATACCTATTTGTGCCAACGTTTGCCAAATCATGTTTATATTTGCAAATCCAGTTAACATATAGCCTGGTTTATGTTAAAATTTGGATCTTATTGTTATGTTTCAGGTCACGTATTATTGTTAAGACATTGAACAGCAGCATTGTTTCGACGGAGCTTCTTTATCTTCTACGTGGCGGGCGTATCGATGACCATGCAAGTTTAATATGCTACTCTCAATATGTTAATCTTTTACGCAATACTTGGATTTACTCCATGTTGAGATGTTATGCAATCTAATTTGCATCTTCTGTTAACAGGTCATGGAAGCTCTTGTAGATAGGCTCAGCACATGGCTAGAGAGGCCAGAAATTGGTTCTGTTGGCATGAAATATGGGGTCGTGTCAGCATTTTTCTGCGTAAGCATTAGCTTCAAACTCCCAATGTTTTTTAACTCATGTTTACAAATGGCTTATCATTATTTGCTTGGCAATACAGCATAGCATTTACGCAGTGAGCCCAGATTACGCACATTTATACACCTCGTTCATACAAAAGCATGTCGCCGCAAATAAATCAGTACTCCTTATCCCGCTTGTGCGGCATGACCACTGGCATGTTGTTGAAGTAAGGTTGGACGAGGATGTTATCAAGCATTACAGCTCTGCAGGCCACAGTGCATACCTGGAGCCAGTAAATAAAGTAATTGATTTCATGGATCACATGAAGGCTGGTTTTGATCCCAATAATGTTTGGAAGAAATTCCGATATGAAGCCGTCCCTTGCGAGCAACAGCGTGGAACGTTAGTGTTTCACACACTTAAACATTTTTATTTTATTCAGCATCAAATATCTAACTATCTTTCCAACGTATATGATGTAGGTTTGATTGTGGGCTTTTCGTTCCTTTATATATAACGGCTATAATACAAGGGACTGATACCAGTCAGGTAACTAATCCCGCTGACGAGTCCGACGTCATCCATGCCAAGCTTGCAGCTGAACTCCTAATTGAAGGATGGGAACAGAAAAAAAAATTTACGTGGATGGGCTAGAAAAGGATGGGTGAATGAGGTCAGGAAAAGTTATGTATTGTGCAGTTTGTTGTGGGAGAAAACTAACAGTCATATTAATTTAGATGTATAACTAGAGAAATACTATGTAACTGGTTGCTAGTTAAGATGTTATGTGATATCAAAACTTTTTATTTAACTGGTGGGTAGGTTGGACGAGGAGATGTAAGAAACTGGTTGTTTAACTGGTTGACAGCATAATATTTGTTGCTAAAATGTTTGAAATGCAATACATAACAGGGCTATAGTATATGTCACTGATGTTCCGACACAAAACTTGAGGTGGCTGCCATATAAGTATGAAAGATAAAATATAGCGCTGAAAGTTAACCACTTTCAATAAAAGTTAACCCGTAGCTCTGAAACTTAACCACTATCTCCAATAGTTAACATATAGCTCTAAACCTTGACCAAATTCAGTTAGAGTTAACATATAGCTCTGAAACTTAACCAATATACGTAATAGTTAACATGTAACTCTAAAACTTAACCACTATCAGTTAGAGTTAACATATAGCTCTGAAACTTAACCATTTATAGTAAACGTTAACGTATACACGTGATACTTGACCAAATTCAGTTAGAGATGACAAAGATGATGGATATTAGAACAATACAAAAACAACACAGGAAGAATGAACAAAGTTTACATTTTTCAACTTCGCGGTTTGCTTGCTTCAGTGCTTTCTTCAACTGCTTTGCCTTGATCGCCATATCATCTTCAACGGGGACTTCTAGGCAATCTGGAATATTCCTACTTACCATTGCATCTTCACTGTGAGCCCAAGCGAAAAACTCGCATTGCCTCTTTGGGAAATTTGCACATCCCCAGAAGTATCTACCATTGTTCCTCCCATTTTTGCACTGCCTCATGGGTGTTGGAATGTTACAAAAACAACATACCTCTTCCCATGACTGAACACCCTCTGACGTTTTCATCTCGCAATCTCAAGAGGGAATGAAGGGAAAGTTAGAACTTCTATTAAGCTTATAACTTTCCTATGTGCACATTTTATATTGCATAAGGAATAACTTACTAGCCATTGGAATATGGTTGTTTGAAATGACTGGTTGCTAGCCGTTAGAACAGTGACTCATATGTTGGAGAAGTCACCTATTTAAACTCAAAATCTTGACATGACAGGTGAAGATCTGAAAATGTCTCTCATGCTTGCAGTTTCTATTAACAGCATGAACAAAATGAATCTAACAGGCATTATCACAGATTACAAAAGTACAACGCTATATACTTAACAACTTTAAAACCATCTATATGTCTCATACAAAAGTATTGTTGTTAGAAGCTGAAACAAGACGCATAAACAACAATACTTTTGTATGAGACATATAGATGGTTTTAAAGTTGTACTTAACAACTTTAAAACCATCTATATGTCTCATACAAAAGTATTGTTGTTAGAAGCTGAAACACACTAGTCACGGATGGGCTCATTGCAGGTTGCTCTATTGTGACCTTCAACTTTGCACCGAGAACATTTGACGGGCCGTTTGTATATGGTTCTGTTGTTTATGCGTCTTGTTCTATTTCTTCCCCTCCTCTTAGTGGTAATTGGTGGCAAAATCTGGATTTCATCCTTGGGCACACTCCGTTTCTCATAGTCTGGTATGAGATATAATATTTCGTCGTAGCTCTTCTTAAACGCTTCTACGGACATGAACCAATCACAACATTGATATACATCTCTTTTCATATAAATAATGACTGCACAAGCATGGAGACAAGGAATACGGGTTACGTCCCAAGCTCGGCAAGTGCATGTCCTATTCTCTAAATCAACGTGAGTGGTTCTATGGAATTGAACTTCGAAAATATCCTCTCTAGATTGCCTAATCTCTAAAGTGCGCCCTTTTTCCATATTTTCTCTAACAATCTGCTCAGCTTTAGGACAAAGATAGCTTGTCCACTTACACGCCATTATCCGTCTGTTGTTCATGCGAGTCATAAGTTGTTTTCGGATATGCTCCACCATTTGTAGGATACGTAACAAACGGGCTTCACGTATCCAGCTGTTAAAGGATTCTGCGACATTAGAGGTTATATGGCCACATCTGCAAAGGACAACATATAGGAAGTATGATGGGCATATAATATGTTATCTTCTTAACAAGTGATCATAAAACTTAACCTATACTGCTAAAGTCTAACATAATAACATCATAGTTAACATATATTGGTGAAAGTTAACATATATCAGCGAAGGTTAACCTATAAAAAGGATACTTCACATATATGCATAACAGTTAACATCAACCGCAAAACGTCTTAATGATTGAATGCATACCTAATGCCAGGGAAGAAGGCATTTGCCCAATGCTCTGGCGAGTAATTAATTGCAATCTCATATACGACTAGAGCCATCTCATAGATTTCCTTCATGTAGTCGTTCCATTCCGCTATAGTGTATTTATAGCAAGCAGTTTGGAGCAAATTCCCCAAAACCTGTGTGTCCTTTGCCTTCATTCCCAAATCCTTGAGCTTTGATCTAAAATTTTCAACTAGATGCAGAACGCGCGTGAGTGAATTGCTTCAAGGAAATATTCTCTCACGGCTTCTCGAATCCCCTTGTCGGCATCAGAAATAATTACCAATTGGTGGGGGGGATTGTACGGGTCCAACCTTTCATACAGTATGGACCACAGGCCTTGTAGGAACCATCTCTAATTATCAATATTTTATTGATCACATATACAATACGTAAGTGGAAATATCTCTTGGTCTCCGTCGTAGGCTATGGGGCTCAGAAGCATGCCTTTATATCTGTCTTTCAAAAAGGTCCCATCCAAAAATAAAAGGGGTCTACACCCATTTAAGAAACCCTGGATGCAAGCAGCATAACATATAAACAGTCTTCTGAACCTTCCTTCATTCTGGTCAATGCAAATGTAGCTTCCTGGATTCGTTTGCTTCACCATTTGCTCATACCTGTACAACAATGCCGCTTCTGGACATGTAAATAAATATAATACATTAGAACATAAGGGTAACATATTAACATTAAAGCGGCTACGATAAACATTTGCACACAAGTTATAAATTGATTGTAATATTTACCATCTTAATTGATCATAAGCCTCATAGCTATCACCATACATATCCTGTTGCGCTCTTTCTTTGCCCCACCATATCTTACTGTATTCAAGTCTCAATCCAAATCGAGTGAGGAAGTCCTTTTGCACATCAATTGGGCGGATTTCAGGTCGTGCCTTTAATACCGGTCGCAATTGGGCTGCTATGAACTTGCGAGATGCCCGTGATTGCCCTGACAAGTTAGAATGTTGTCCACAACTGTGTTCATCCACAAACCTTTTGATTTCCATTCTTTTATCATTTTTAACAGGAGCTGCAAAGAGCATCCAAGGGCATCCATACGTCTCCTTATATCGACAACAAACGCGGATACATTTGGGTTCATTCTTTACAAATTTATATTTAAATTTTTTGGCCATGGAATAGTATTGCAAAGCTAGTCTCAATTCAGTTACGGTTTCAAATTGTTGCCCCTTTTCAGTTAATGTTGTGTGCCACCATTGAGGAATGCTCGAAGTGTTGTTGAGAATATCATCAGCCCTCATTACAGTCTTACCAGACGGAAAATCAGTTTGGATTCTCTCTGAATTGGATGCATTTCCTGAAGGAGGACAACTATAATCTGCATTCAAAGAGGCATCCCTGTTGCACAATTTAATCAAACAGTGAGATATCCTGCACACTATGTTAAATAATCTTCTTATAACTTAAGTTAACAGCACTATGATGAAAGTTAACAATATGCATGGTTAACACAGCACACCAAAAGTTAACTAACTGGGTGTAAAATTAACCATTTTGAGTAAAACTTAACATAGAGCAGTGGAATTTAACAGACAATGGACATAGTTAACACATAAATACGAAAGTTAACATGTTCAAGAAAAGTATAACATGTTCCAATGAGAGTTAACATGTTCATATAATAGTTAACATATATCTTAGATAACTAACCTGTAAGTTGAAGGGTTAAAATGTACCCATCAGCGATGACAACTATTTTTCCCCAAAGTAGCATCGAAAACTAAAATCACAATTTCAACATCCCACATATCCCAGTTTCAAACAGAGTTCATTCTATTACTTACAAATCAGTAATAACTTTCTGTTTTTTCCTCAGGAGTAGGACACTACTTGGCATCAACATCTTGCATTTTAATCAGAACAATTCTAGTTATTTACTTGCGTTCCAACGTGCACTTCAAATCATGCAGAATATAGCATTATCGCCTGACGGCACCATGCTCATCAACTCTTTGGAACCCGTTGGGGGTTGTTCAAATTTATGACGACAGTTATATGGTTACATTCAGGGGATTTAAAGCCCAGAGGGGTGATTGAAAGTTGACCAAAAGATAACAGTGTTTACATCACACTAAGCACAATGTTATAAAGAGTTTATTAATTACTTACATTTCGCTAATAACTTTCTGATTCTTCCCTGGCGTGGAACACTCTACGTTAACAGCAGCCTGCATATGAATCTCCGTACAACCAATCTTTCGATTGTGCTCCAACATGCACTTCAGGTCATCTTCGTTCTCAACTGAAAAACTCAGGTTGGGGTGCCTCTCAGATTTATATATCAAGGAAAAAGATTCTTCAGGTACTTTCAATCTTTCAGCCACACCATATTTCAGTTCATAAAAGCTTGCTGTCGACCTTAGCTTCATAAATATGGCATTCTCGCCTAAAGACACCATGCAAATCAAGTCATCAGCAGCCATTGGGTGGTTGAGAGTTAGGAGGACAGTTATGAGGAGGTGAGGAGTAATTGAGGGGATTTCAGGCGCATAAACATGGTTGACAGTTGAAGAACAAACCCTAATTTCATTAATGAGAGAGTGAGAGCTAGAACTGACCGATTTATATTAAAGGCTGATGAAGCAGCACAGTAATGGAGGGAGCACGCGCTTTTTCCCCCCGCTTTCCTCCGTCGCTTCGCCTTAAATGTGATGGGAGCGGTCGCCGCCAAAGGAGGAACCCATTCAGCCGGTTTTCTCTTGTGAGAGAGATGAGGGTAACTTAGGTATGTTGGTCAAAATACACCCAATACATGTATATGAATGGGCTTTTAGGGCTGGGCCACAATTTTCACTGTTTTATAGGGCTAAATGCTAAGGGAATTAATTGCTGGGTCTGGGCCACAACCGGATCTTTTTTTTGGGGCCTTATAACATTTTTCCCAAACCCTCTCCAATTAAATGATGAGTAAAAAGTGTTCAATTTAACCTAATCATTATCCTCTATTCAAATTTCAAGGACTAAGATATTCAAATTTCAAGGTCTAAGATTAAGCACATAGGACTCTAAACATTACATTGAAAACCACTATCGTGAAGATTAGTGTTCTAATAGTAGAAATCCTAAGTGGCTTTAGTAGCTGTCGGAATTGGAATAGTAGGCTAAGGGGCTGTTTGTTTCCCAAAAAAGAATGGGAAATCAAAGAATAGGAAACCTATTTTCTAAAATAATTGTTTTGAGGTTGTTTGGTTGGTTTAAAAAAGAAGGAAATTATAAAATAGGAGATGAGATGAGTTGTCACCTTATTATGGATGATGTGAGTGATTTTTTTAAAAAAATTGTTTTGAGGTTGTTTGGTTGGTTAAAAAAAAAATAAGGAAATGAATTGGAAGTATATTATTGGATGATGTTTTGAGGTTGTTTGTGTTTGGTTCGAAAAAAAATAAGGAAATGAATTGGAAGTATATTATTGGATGATGTTTTGAGGTTGTTTGTGTTTGGTTCGTTTTTAAAAATAAGAAAATAGATGAGATGAGATGAGTTGGAGGTATATTATTGGATAATGTGACACATACTTAAGGAAATCAATTTCTTGTTTTTTTTCTGAGGAAATGGATGGAAATGAAGGTTTAATGAGATGAGATGTCACAATATTATTGGATGATGTGTGTGATTTTTAAAAATGTGATAAGATGAGATATGATGAGTTAGATGATGTGACATATTTCTTATGTTTGGTTTATTTTTAAAGGTAAGAAAGGAAATGAAATGAGATGAGTTGAATGATAAAAATAATATTTTATTAGATGTTATGAGTGAGTTTTAGGAATAGAAATGAATAAAAATATTATTTTATTGATTTCCTTGTACCAATTTCCTTTTCTTTGATTTTAGGAAACCAACCAAACGGGCCCTAAGATTAAATAAATTGAAACACCTCAATTACCACCTAATTCAAAAGAATCCGAAGAACAAAGGACACGGCACACTCCTTAGTGCCCTTTTGTTTGCAAAAAGTGGAAGGGGAAAGCAAGAAAAAGCCTACAAAAGTTCTGAAAAAATCAGAAATTTTACAAGCTTTCTTGTAAAATCGTCCCAAATTAATCCTGACCCAATTTTGACGTAATCTATTATTATAAAAAAAGAGTTAAAGACACCACTTTTAGCTCAGAAAAGTCTAGGCCAAAATTGACTCTGCTTTCAGCGATAAGAAAGGTCCCAATTTTCAGGGTATGCCAAACACACCCTTAGGCAAAGGCATCTAAGGAGCTGAAAACAGACCAACTAGGTGCAAACTAGTAGGCTCTGATCCAAAATTTGGAATAACATCTCCTTGCAATCGCAATTCTCACCTAATTCAAGCACAAATGGAAAGCGGAGCTCCCAACAACGCCAAATCTTTCAAAACCACAACTCAAGCCACCAACAACCCATAACAAAACTAAAACAACAATGCAAATGAACAAAGGAATATGCACTCAGTCTTCCTCCTCGCCCTCATTCTCTGCAATGTTAAAGTACCGCAGCTCATAAACATTGCGATCTTTGTTTGATGCAATCACACGCAACCAATCTCTCACATTATGCTTCTTCAAGTATTTCTTGGTCAGATACTTCAAATACCTGAGAAGAACAGAATCACGACAGAGACAATGTCAGATCATAGTCACCTCTATATCGTAACGAGGGCAAGTTAGAAACTTGATAAAACGATCAGTTGTTGGTACTGTTTCTATGTACTGTTATAAGTGCAATAGCATTCTACAAGATAAAAATAACAGGCATATACATCAAATTCTCAGTGAAATGCCAGAAGCAGCAGTTAAACAAAATAGACGAAGTAACAAATAGTACCAAAAGTGATTTTGTATATATTTAAATCAATTCAGAAGGTTCGTTACGAAATAGCAACTGCACGCTGCAGATAGTATTGAATATTGAGATAACTTTTTTTTACTCTGATCATCAGACAAAATGAATTTTACAAACAAATGGCAGAATCTTTAATGTCAGTCATAAATAACAGGGCAAAGGGGATCATGTTTGTAGATTCTTAACATACTAGAAGACATATTTTAAGGCAGAATTTGGTTCATGGATCAAGTGGGATTGGAATTAAGTGGAATTGGGATATCAAAACTCAAATCCATTTTGGTTAAGCTTATTTTGGTTCATTATAGGGTTGGAAT